GGGGAGGCAGAGAGACAGAGAGAGAGAGAGGTAATAATATAAAAAAAGAGACAAACACTCGCACGAACATACAGACGAGTGCACAAACACGGATAAGCAGGTATGCAGACACGCAATCCGGGAGAAGTCATTTCTTGCGTTTGCAATAGGGGGAGGGGGCGTCGCCCAGCCAGGTGATATATATACGAGGCAAAAACGCTCAGGTTTAATTAGGACTACGCCCCTCATCGAGCATCCTACCAGTGAACGTATCTGCGTGTTACAAATTGTGAACTTGCCTCTACCATTTCAGTTTTTGACGTTCGAACTATCAAGTCAGGTAAGCTGGAAAGTATAAGAAACGATATTCATATTTAGATGCATTTTTGTGTGTTGTGTTTATTCTTCGATGATATTTGTTTTACTTTATAATAGAGATAAATTCTAAAAAGATATATTTTAATCAACGGTTTAAACTTTTCAATAAATTAATGGCTAAAATACAACTTAAGCAAAAAAAGAAACGCCTCAAGAAAACCAAAGCTTTGAGATTTCACAGTTACTGCATTAAATATTAAATTCTTTTAATTATTTATTTACGAATACTTTAAGACGATTGAACAGAAGTTTAATAGAAAAGCAGCAAAATAAATACTTAGCAAACCTATTTCAAGTAGTTTGCTTAAATTTCGTAAACGTAATTGAAACTGAAAGATATGGAAACGTTCCTCTTGACTTTTTGTTCATTTAGACACGTTATACACAAAAATGATAATGATTGCATTTATATAGACCATGTCCACTCTTTACACAGCATGCCCTATGCGCTGTACAACTATTATTATAATGGTGACGTGAAGATTTAATAGCTTAATTAAATTATCTTCACAAGGAACATAATGACGCGAATGTGAAGAAACATTGGGTGCCAACTACAGAGTCCTCACATAATATAGAATCTATCAGCATGCCGAGACCAAGAAATCATTGCTACAGTTTTTGTCATCACTTGTGGGTATTCTGTTTTTCTCACCATTTTATCTTTTCGTGTCCATTGGTTCCCAGCTCTTGATTAGTCAAGGCCAGGCGTTCTGGTCCATATCAATAATAGATGAGTAGAAGGTACACTCTTAATTAACTGCCCTTTTTGTACTGGGAAAGGCTGAGGAAGTTTACTCAGATTGCTCGTTCATTATTGATATTGTTAAACCAGGAGTGTATCTATGTATAACGTTGGCGCAACAATTATTAAGTATAGGCTTTATCTTGTCAGATAGTGTTCTGTTTCTTTTTAAAAAAGTTTCATTGGGTAGATTTTTGGAGTTATGTTATAGGTGGAACCTTGGAAAAACATACTCAGCACCCCCC